AAAAATATGTTTATAAGATAAAAAATTGTTCTTTTGAAACTTAATTTGTATATATTGATATCAACAATATCGTTTTCGGTACATGAGTATTAAAAATTAAAAAATAGACTAATATTATTTTTAGTTAAAAAAAAAAAAGTAGTTTGACGATAAAAATTAAATTCATTTACTTATATATAAATCACATACGTAGAATTTACTAAAATTAATCTTTTAAGAAACTATTGTTGTTCTAATATCATAAAATAGATAAAATCGATTTCATTTACACTGTAGAAAAACGCATTTAACTTCAACTGTACACGTAAAAATTACGAAGATTTGCTCAATATTCCGGATTTTTCTTATTTATAATCCATCTTTATTTACATTTGATAAAATATAAATCGTAATTAATAAAATATTAGCGTGTAATTAAAGCTATGAGCCTCTGATCGGTAATGTTTTTACCATAAGGACATAGTAAGATGTTTCGTTTTCGACTATGAGTGACGTCAAATAAGCAACCAATGAGAAGCGTTTCTTCTCTATGAGGTAACCTTATAATCTAAGACTTTGGGACACCCCTGCTCTAGACGCTTGTTGTAATATTTACTTGTGGTCTCCGACCCTGACTGAAACCCGANACTGTACACGTAAAAATTACGAAGATTTGCTCAATATTCCGGATTTTTCTTATTTATAATCCATCTTTATTTACATTTGATAAAATATAAATCGTAATTAATAAAATATTAGCGTGTAATTAAAGCTATGAGCCTCTGATCGGTAATGTTTTTACCATAAGGACATAGTAAGATGTTTCGTTTTCGACTATGAGTGACGTCAAATAAGCAACCAATGAGAAGCGTTTCTTCTCTATGAGGTAACCTTATAATCTAAGACTTTGGGACACCCCTGCTCTAGACGCTTGTTGTAATATTTACTTGTGGTCTCCGACCCTGACTGAAACCCGAATACTCCAGAAAGGCAGCAGACGTCTATACAGCCTCATTCATTCGAACCCCATGTTATTTTTCAATGTGTGTTTTAAGCTGAAATTTTTTATTCATTAAACTGGATATGTTTCAATTATCTTAGTGATCAAATTATTACGATTCTTATTCATGAAAGAAAACAATTTTTTAATAAAGTGATAAAGGAAATTATTATTATTTTGAATATGTGCAATTGAATTACAGTATATTACCTTTGTTATGACTTTAACTTATATTGATGTTGTTACGAAGCTTCCTGACTAGTGTAAATTGAGGTTTTTATATTGTGGCGAACGCCGCCCTTCACATCTGTACCCTCAACGGTTGTAAAAGACAAGCAATTACCCCGGGTGTATGAGTCATCACTTCCTGGAATAAATTCGAACTCACCCCACAAAGACCGTCGAAAACCAGTTGTCTTTGTTAGTCGCGTCGTCGAGACATGTGCTGTACCAAGTACGCCAGGAGAATAAAAGTTTAGTTTTTGTTATGATTTCGTCTCGTTCGTTTCTTCCACTCGCAGCGACGAAAGATAAAGACAACCACAACGCAAAAAACCACAATATATATGTTATGGACAAAGTGATTAATATGGGCATTATTCATAATGCCCGGTCATTATGAATAATGACCAACAAAATCGGGCATTGTAATAAATTTCAATAATTTATGAAATTGACCGGTCATTATGAATACTGCTATCATCTAGTCAGGCAAAGTGATGATAATGCATCGAAGAGTGATCATCCAAAATATGCTAGCCAATCAGCACTCACATCTGAGTTGCATGTGTGTGTTGCGTTTAGTACCAAATTTGGGGCGGTCGCGTCTGTTTGTGCTTTTGATGGATTCCTCGAGGAGGGCTGCTGCCAGCAGGCCGCGTATTGTTTAACGTCACTAGATCTTGATTCACGACAGTTCTTGAACACATGTGTCAATAACTAGTATGTATCAATATCTAGTGACGTTAACAAATCAGCGGCCTTCCTGCGGCTTCCCTCCGGGAGGAATCTGTCCGGAGCACAAATAGTTGCAACCGCCGCTATTACGGTGCACATAGGTAAAATTTTACCATTTAATTAATATAGTTAATAGTACTTAGTTTTAAAAGATTACATGTTTTTTAAATACTTTGAAATAATTCACAAAAAATAAATATTTCTAAATGAAATAAGTGGAGTTTTTTTAATCGAATTAAAATGTCACACAATTTAAAATTCAATACTAAACACAATACACACTCAATACAATACCAATCCAATACAATCCAGTTATTGTTGAAGCTCAGAAATGTTTATGCAACCTGATTTAATAAAGACTGTAGGAGCCAAAAATACTTTAATACAACGACATAATTTACATTTATAAAGATTACAGATGACAAAGGGGCTTTTGTTCATAAACGTGAGCAATTATCTTCAGAGAAAAATGGGATGAATCGAGATGATATTCAAATTTCTGGTAGATATCTTTGACAATTACTGACACTTGTAGTTGTAGTGAAGCTGATACAGCTATCCCTGTTGTGTATAGCACGATTTCTGTATAGTTTCGTAAATACGAAACTATACAGAAATATATTTTTGTGGCAACGTGTATAATAAGAACTTAAGGGAAAACTTGTCAGGTTACTTACTGGCTGCAATTGCCTAACGTTGTTCACAATGTGGAGTAACACATTGGATGGTGAACGCTTACAAATCATGTCATGTGACCTCGCTTTGATGTCAGTCGGTGGTTAGACTGAAGCAAAAGCTATCCAACTAAAAAAAGATTTTAAACTTAATATTAACGAATAGACATAGATATATCTAGATGTAATTTGACACGCTGAATCGATAGGTATTAAAAAAAATTACTTACGATCAACTTAATCAGCAACTTAGAGTGCCAATTGGCTAGCGTATGTTGGATGATCACTTTTCAATGTATTATCATCACTTTGCCCGACCAGGTGATAGCAGTATTCATAATGACCGGTCAATTTGATAAATTAATAAATATTTATCACACTGCATGCCCTTTTTGGTCATTATTCATAATGACCGGGCATTATGAATAATGCCCGATTAATCACTTTGTCCATAACATATACAATCTATACATGATATCGGCCGTCCGGATGGTGAGTCAATAAAGGCGTCAGCCTGCCACTCTGAGGAACTCAGATAAAAAAATTGAGAAATCCAGGAATTTTTCGGGATGGCTCATCTGGATATGTCGAGATCCTTCTCTCACCATCCGGACGCTCCACTGTGGGCATGGCCGAATCCATAATGGGCTCGCTAAAAGGCCCCTTAGTGCCCACAGGACGGAAAGAATTAAAAATAGTAATGTAGGACAGCGATTATTAAATGTAGGATCACAATTTTGAAAGCAGTCGCCAATTTATTATTGTTATGTAGTCACGTATACACTTTTTCATGGACATTATTCTTCTGCTTAAAATCCATCAGTGCCTGAATGAATAAAGCCACTGAGCACTGGTCGAGGATTCGCACCTCACCAACGAGTTGACCACGTGGAGTTCTCCGGGTTTTCACGTGTCTAACTATTAGGGCCTGTTTCCCTTGGAAAGGCCTGTTGGGATGCATTCCCCATTTCCCTTGGCAGATACTCCATGTATTGCATTGCCTTATTACGTCACTTCAATCCAATCCAGTCCTCCGATGACAATCACAATCAGCAACAACAACAACAAAAAAAAGTTACTGGATTTGTATACGTTTATTAACAATATCATTTTAATACATGAAAATAAAAACAAACAAATTGTCCAAAAACAACAATTGTAAAAGGAAACGAAATATATTGCAGAATTTTTAAAAATATATATTCCCACATAAGGAAGTTAATGGCTTTGCGTCTTTATTTCGTGTAATTTGCAGCAAAATTTTTACAGGTTTCAGGCTGTCAAAGACATATGGAAACAAATCACCCAATGTAACTCGTATTGTATTTTTAAACGCTTTTATTAACTTATTTTGTATCATGCCCTCAGATCTTGCAACTCAAATTTTATTCTTTTAAAAGGTCAATTTTTCAAAAAAATATTTCCTCAAAAATTGATGAAACTTTATGGGTTAATTCCACAGAAATAATCGCCGTTTTTTTGCCTGGACCGCATTTAATAAGAGACAAAAGCTTATCTTCGTATTCTCTTTATTTACTTATTTACTATACATTTCGGGTGCAATATTTTTGTGTAACTTGCACTCCTCTTCAGGTTTTACATTTCTATAAATTGGTAAATTCAATTATTACATTTGTTATTACGGTAAAAATATTGCACCCGAAATGTATAGTAAATAAGTAAATAAAGAGAATTCGAAGATAAGCTTTTGTCTGTGATTAAATGCGGTCCAGGCAAAAAAACGGCGGTTATTTCTGTGGAATTAACCCATAAAGTTTCATCAATTTTTGAGGAAATATTTTTTTTGAAAATTTACCTTTTAAAAGAATACTGTATAAAGAAAACCGCACCATTGATATAATACATATTGAATTTTATTCATTTCTAATTAAGATAAAAGGCCGAAACTTTGAGGACTTACCTCAGTTTGATGAAGTTTGAGGAGTGGATCTATCCACCACCTCCCAACCCCGAAACCCGATAAACATAACCAAATGCAGAATGTAGTCATGAACATGTGTGTGATGTATATGGAGAGAGTGACTCCGTCCCCAATCTTGAAAAACAAGAGACCAATAAAAGCGTTTTTATAATTTTCAAAAATATATTAAAATTATTCGAAAGAAAACAATTCAACTCGCTCAAAATATTTGAAATAAATTATTAATAAAATAAAGTATAAAATAAAACAACGCTTTTAAAGAAAGATTGATAATTGGAAATATCGGCGAAATGCTGAACATGGCGGATAGGCCGACAACATCTACGGAAAGCTAATTGTTCGTGTAAAAAAGCTGAGGGTTGAAAGCTCTGTCAAAGTGATAAAAGTTTCCTTTATCGCGTTAACCAAAAATTATTATTATTATTATTTTAATACACGCTGTAAGAAATATCGCACACTAGCGAGAGCTTTAATGTGACTATTATTGGGCTATATTTCATAAAACAGTACACTAGACGGCGCATTATACTTCTATCAGATATAGACGTTTCTTTCGCGAAAGAAGATGGCGGAAAAGTAAGTAATATAACAACTAATTTTAATCCATCTTAATCGTAAATTTTTAAAAATAAAACATGTATGATATGATGTATGCACATTTTATTTAATTACTTATTTATAATTTTCTAAATTTTATAAACATCATCTACACGTTAACGAAATATATGAAGTTTTACAACGTGGCTTACGCATAAGTTAGTAATCAGTTTTAGATTAAAGAATATCGTCTCAATTAGATTAAGTTAATTTAAATGTACGATTTCTGATATATAAACGTAAATTAATTAATGTAAATATTATAATTTATCTGAATTGCTTATTTTGATACTTCATTGCACCACTTGAATCTGTAATATCCTTTGTTAGAAATTGCATGCTTTAATTTAATATGTTATATCGTTCAAGCTGCTTATAAGAAACTTGTTAATATTAATTTATGATTTGATGTTCAGAAATGAATTAATAGCTTATACGTTAAAACAGTTAAACTTGAAAGTGAATTCCACATTCTACATATATAACGTGACCATTTATATTTTTCCTCAAAATGGGGTATCTACTAATTTTTAGGTACTAGTATGTGTATTCAAGAAAAGGCATATTTCTTCATAGTTTTTATTTATTAATGAAAAGAACAGGAATGAAGATGTGAAAATAAATCGTTTGTGCAGTCTTATAATTTTTTGTAGAAAATTTGCTTGAATATATTTGGTGTTGATTTCAAATAAGATTGAAATTCTTGGCAGGATTTCTTAAAACTTACTTTGGTAATTAACATTGCAGTAAAAGTTTACTTTTCATACATGGCATTTTTTCCTAATTTTGCTTTCTAAAGAGACCTCACTAGTAGACATGTCCTAAACAGATAGAAATTTTTGGGGCAACGTGTATAATAAGAACTTAAGGGAAAACTTGTCAGATTACTTACTGGCTGCAATTGCCTAACCTTGTTCACAATGTGGAGTAACACATTGGATGGTGAACACTTACAAATCATGTCATGTGACCTCGCTTTGATCGTCAGTCGGTGGTTAGACTGAAACTAAAGGTATCCAGCTAAAAAAGATCTTAAACTTAATATTAACGAATAGACATAGATAAATCTAGATGTAATTTGACACGCTGAATCGATTGGCATTAAAAAAAAATTACTTACGATCAGCCGTTTAAAAGTTATGAACGATTTTTTATTTCCAGCTATTTGCTTTGTTTAAGAACAACTTTACTAAGAAACATGCAGGCACTCATCAATATTAACAAAACGAATTACTTTATTCACCATAATACATTCCATCTAAGAGAGAAAGCGCATTAAAAATGCTAAAATGGTGTCGTTAGCCAGCGAACGTGCATAACCACGATAAGGGTGTAGGGACAACTGACGCAGGGAAATTTTCCCTCGCCGGTGAGGAACATGTCGAGCGTGACATCACTTCCACAATTCCCTACACGTGTGCAGTAACAGAAATAGTTGACACGATAATATAATTATTATATACTAGCTGCAAGGACCCGCTTCGCTGGATTTTTAAAAAGTGATGATAGTGAAGATTAAGATAATTACATTATAGCCAATCTTACTTGTTTTCACAGAATGCAAGAATTAGGTCCTCCATTTCCAGACTAATTAGAGACCTGGTCCCGATTCTATTTCTGAACGTCTCCTGTTCACGTCAAGTCAAACGAACTATTTTCAACGTTTCTGGAACGTTTACAATCATTCTATAATCAAACCAATATTCGAATTAAATTCGAACAAAACATTCAAAATAGAAAGCCACTTTCAACCACTTTCAGCCTCATATCTTCCGCACCCTTATAGCTATCAAGACGCAACCCCCCTGGTGCACGAATGGAGACTTGGGGCTACTACCACATACAAACACCATTCACGTGTGATGTGTAGTTTTGGCGGAAAAGTGAAATATAGGGACATACATGTCCATTTTTATATATATATATTATTTAAAACAAAGGTAAAAATTTAATAACAAATTTAGTTTTCCTCATGTTACTTTTTAACAACATTAACGTCTTTAGTTCTTTATTCCAAGATATCGGCTGTTATGCAAAAGGTATCCAGCTTTAATTGCGTTTTATAAGCATTCTTTCCTCGTTGTTTCATATCTAGGATTTTATACAGTATACATATACTACACACTCGTCATTAAAGCCTTCCGACGCCCATTTTATATCACTTACACAGCTATGAATGCTTTTACCTTAGATGCTGGCTGCTCTGTACTACCAACATTAAAAAGAAGTGTCAATTGTAAAGTACTGTACAACAAAATAGTATTACATTATTTATGGATGATTTTGTTGTAATGATTTTATAGAATTTGTAAAATTTATTATGAGCAATGTAGTAAACCTTGGTTAATATATTACGAAAATTTTTGCATTCAAGGCATGCCAATGTTCTGCTGCTTTCTTTATTAATGGAACTTTGTCTGAGCTGTAATGAGCGATAGTTGCTATCAGGAAATGTGAAAATACTTTCTTCCACTGAATAGAGCACAATGTTGACAACAAAAATGAGATGCATATTTATAACCTCTTTGAAAATCCACATCTTATGGAAATATGAATTTTATTTCTCGTGCCTTTTATAATTGACATGTGTTTTGAACACTATTTTTATAGAAAATGCTAGACACTTTTTTTAAGGAAGGTTAATTCAAAACTAACAAATTTTACACAATTCGATTACAATAATGTTTTGTACTTGTTCATATCGTTTGATTTGAGAACAGTCTTTCGTCTTCTACATTGTTAATTGTACTGTCATTTTTTATAGTTTGATTTAATTCGTATCACAATTAGACAGAACATTGTTTCCGGACAATTAGACAGGCACTTTTTCTAATTGTCCAGAAACGGCTATCAGTGGTCAGTGTTGTTATCCATTCAGCCACATATGTTATCCATAGAGCCGATTTAATGATAACTTATTTATTGCATACTTCATAATTTTGAATCAGCTAAAGTTAGAAATAACTTGGTTGAATAAGTTAAAATCTATCTCCCATAGTTTATTGCAGTGTATCAATAAGTTTAAGTACAAGCTGCATATAATATACAAAAAAAAAAAAAAAACACAAAAACTAGACAAAGATTATACATTCTGCCTGGATGGGTCAGTTTTACTGGAGGAGTTGGGCACCACTGGAATTTAGGGCAGGCAAATTTGTATAGAAGACGTTTTTGCTTATGTTGTTTTTGGTTTGTGAGATATGGATATTCCTATGGCATCAAGGAGCACTAGTGCGCAAAAGGAAGAACAAGAAGAAGATTTTAACAATAAAAAGCTATTTAAAAAAGTGCTCTAAAAGTAACCGAGAAGTTGCTTCTATAAAATAATAATACACAGAGGAGCCCGTGGAAGATCCGTCATCGGTAAAAACAACACAAAATATATAATTGCACATCGATATGATGAACGAGATGGAAATTGAATGTTGATAAAATTTTAAACGTAGAAAAAATAATTAAATGTGAAGTTAACTAGTGACTTAGTAATTTATATTGGATAAGGTTGTTCAAATTGTACCACTGCCTAAATTGGTAGTACGTACATAAGATTGAAAAATCGTTTTGGTGCGATTTAAGGAATTACTCTCTGTTATTAACTTTTATCTGTGGAATGTCGGTGGAGGTAAGACAGTAAACGCAACAACAAATAATATTGTTTTAATTTTTATGTTTTTTATTTTATTATAGACCATAAACATGTTAAAACGAATTTATAATAGTCAAAAACAATAAGATGTGGACTAGACATTAAGCAAATTACGCAGTGGTGATATTAGATTTAATGAAGCATCACAGACAATATGAAATCCCTAAACCAACTCTTAAGGTGTCATCTTTGTGGATTGACTGACTGAAAATATGGAGAAAGAGATAGTTAAACGTGTTCTTTAGAATCATGTTTCTTTGAGCTTACTGTAGCTGATCTACGAAAACAGCACTTTAATTGGCAGAAAAATATAAATTATCACATTATTTTAACAAAGAAAAAAACTGCATTGGCGAAATGATATTATAAATTCAAGAAAGATAATCCTTCCTTGTCTTTTTGGGTTCCAGTGATAAACTGAACAAGAGAAGAAATAAATGGAAATAAGCAGTTGAAAGTTACAAACAATGGAAATTAATTAAAAAGAAAAAAGTCAAAAAAGAAGAGCAATTGGTTTTGTAATCTTTGTGCAGAAGATCGTGAAAAAAACACGATTCCATGCTTAAAATGTAAGACACCGGTGCTTGATCTACATGCTGGAGTTAACAAAAAAATAATAATAACAGAAATATGTTTGTGTTTGTAATAACTGAATATGCCACGTTGACATGATAAAAATATTTATATTTAAATACATTACTTAAGGTATATAAACTTTGGTTGTTTGTGTTTAATTTTATTCTATGGTACGACTTAAGCTGTAAGTGTAGTAAGTAAATAACTTAGAAAACTGATTTCCTTAGTTGTGCCGATTTTACTTTAAATAGTTTTGTTAATTTCATTTAAAACGGTACTGGCATTTCAAATTTTATCATAATAAATAACAACAATGTTTACAAAAGTTTTGAATAAAACAATTCTTGTTTATTTAATAGATCTTACAATTTATACTGAATTTTTCTTACGGGATACCCCTTGAGCAACTTGTCCTTACTGTATACAGGTTTTATATAAATAATAGCCGCACACAATAGTAACCACATCTCTCCATTACAGCTCGAAATAATAAATGCTCTTAAATAGTAGCCACGAGGGTTGATGAAAACATAGACAAACAAACAATGTCAAATTTATAAATGCCATAAACTACGGTAGAAATCATACTGAAAGCTTTACAAAGCTATTTACAAAGCTTAATAGAAAATGAAATATGTAAATTATACAATATACTAGGTCTTGTCAACTTATAGTAGGGTGTGATCCAGTGTCGTCAGTTAAAAACTCCAATTTTCTACTTCACATCTCTATTCATCTATAATTGTATAATAATCCA